AGCCCCCCCAGGTCCTTCGGGGAGGGAGGGGCCCAACCCTGACCCCAGCAGTCGAGGGGCGGCCCCCCCAGTGCCCAGCACCGGGGCACGGTCCCTGCCCTGCTCCTGCTGCTACATGGTGTGCATGGGGTGGGGTGGAGGAAGGTTTAGGAGACCTGAGTGTTGTTCAGCTGTCCTCATCTGCTGGCCAAAAAGGTTGGGCAGCAGCTGCCTCAGTTGCTTGTCCTCCCCTTCTCCTGCCTGCCAGCTGTCAGGCCTCTCTCCTTCACCTATTTCACCTCAAAGGAACTTTGTTCAAAGGCTCAAACAGGGATAATAGGGCTCGACGCGGTGGTTCAATGAGCGCTGATGCTCTAGGTTACCTTTAACAAACTTAGACACTTTTCAGTTGAAATGTGAGCTTCTCTTCCGTGTTGCGTTAAGAGACGTGTGTATATTAGTTGTCCAGCACGCAGTCTTCCCAGTAAGCCTACTCGTGCTGGCCACACATGCCACGTCAGTTATTTCCCTGTGTTTCTTTTAGTTTTGCTCCTGTAATTACTAGTGAGTAAGCTGAAGCATATGCTGCATCAGTCGCTTCCTCCAGTTTCAGATCCCAGAGGTGCTGTGTCTGCTCTACGCCGTATATATTCGGCATGAAAGAATTGGGTAGGGGCTGAAAAATGGGACAAGTGTTTGGCTGTGACACGCTGGCTTGCCGAGCTCATCTCAAGCGTTCTGGATACTTAAGTGTATACTTGGTGCACTTTCAGGTTTTCCTTTTTACTCCTGTGATCTGTCCTGTCAGGCTTTTCCTATGCCTGACCACTTCCCGTGTCTCTGAGAGGGATAATTTCTCCCGTGGATCTCTTCCCTGTTACTTCTTTCCACATTCTTCATCAGCTTGACATCTCTAGGCAGCAGAAGTCTGCGGGGGGAGTATATTTACGTAGTCCTCTCAAATCTCTCAGTCAATCTTTTAGACATCATGTCTCAAGGTTGCTTGCTTCCAAACTAAATTTGGAAGAAGCAAGGGAAGTGTCTTACTTCATTACTCTTTCATGTATCCTTTCCCTCTTCCTATTACTTTTTCATAGCACTGCAGCTTGTAACTTCAGTTTTCTTTACAGCTTTCTCTTGTTCCATGCAGGTTTTTCTCTCCTGCTTGCCTCTTTCCAGTTCTGTCTACCCATCCTAAACTCACATAGCAAACGTGCTACCAGTGTGTAAAGTATATTTGTTAACAGCTTAGACTCTAAACTTTGTCAGTTTTGGTTCTTTTTTTGCAGCGAGTCTGTTTCGGCAGACTCAGGTTAGTTATTTTCTGCCCTGTCTGAACTCACGATATGTCTTTATTCTGTTAGAAATGCTGGTGACAGAAAAGAAAACCAGACCCCGAAGCGTCGTTCCAACTCTGCCAGTCCCAGCCCTAGGCGCTCGAGGGTCGCGGGCTCCGGCTATGTTCTTCGCCGATCGCGATCGAGATCCAGGAGCCCTGGCCGCTTCAGGCCAACAAGGCCGAGAAGTCGGAGCCCGCGGCAGATGCGACGCCGGAGCCCCAGACACAGGTCAAGGTCACCGCAGCGATCGAGGAATCCACTGAGAACTAGTCCTCGGCCTCAGAGATCTTCCAGTAATGATTGGTCATCGAGGAGGTCAACTCGATCGCAAGGTAAAGGGCAGATACATGCTGCCAGATTGAAACTTCCTTTAACTGCAGGAAAACTGAGTTGGTTTGAAGAGGTTTATCTGTCCAGGTGTCACCTAGGTGTTTTTCATAGCAAAATTCTGTTTTTAAAAAGTTTTCCTTTTGCTGTTGCTTTGTGAAAAGTACGGGTATTCTAACAGGTCTGAAGTCTTCCTTACCTAGAATCACAGAAT